TGTTTTGGGGGAAGCCTGCACAATCCATCTTCCCAGTTACCCTAGTATCTTGCACACAGAATTCCAGGAGATACTTTTTGACTGAAGGAAAGTCTAGATCCAGGTGAATGTCCACTTTCCCTCCTGGAGAGTCAGACCCACCTGGCTCCTTTCTTACTTGGTCAGTGTTTGGCCTGGGAAAGGCACTTAGTCCTGGGCACCTCTGGGCACCAGGCGAGCAGGACCGTGGAACAGGTGCACGCAGTGTGCGGCACGTGGAGGCACTCAGCCAGGGCAGGTCCCATCTCTGGAGCCCGCGGTGCCTTCTGAGGCCCGGGTTGAGCTCAGCCCAGGTCTGGGTGTGAGGAACAGGTCGGAGTCGGGTGTCTKCCCCTTGCTCTGTGTTCACGGGAAGGCTGTCCAGGGGGAGCCTGAGGTGCGCTGGAAAGAGGGCACGAGGAACAAGAGCCAGAGCCCACCCACCCCTCTGTTTATTAAGAAAAAGACATCCGATAGAAGATTCCACCCAAATAAGGGCAGGAATAGTGTTTCCAGAAACGGGGGCTGGGGGCAGCCCCATCCCATTGGGCACTTCCCGCAGCGTGCAATGCCACGTCGAGACCCTCATCGCTCAAGGCTGAGGGGAGGGCCTGGCTCACGTGCAGGTGCACGCCGTCCCTCTCCTTGGAGTCTGTAGCCATTTACCCAGGCGGTGCTCAGACCACGCAGCACAGACGGCCTCATCTCATCAGCGCCTTTCRGGAGAGCTGAATCCAATGACACCGTGAGAACACCCAGATCCCAGACTGCAGCTCCCTGAGGACGGGCTGGCGGCAGGCCGGAGTTGGCTGAGGCCACTGCCCTTCGGCATGGGGCTCTGGCCGGGCATCGGGGGAGGCTCTCGGAGCATCTGACTGCAGCCTCTGGTTCCTGCCACACCAGCTCCCAGTGGACACGAGTGACAGACAACTTCTGGCTCCTCAGACTGGGAACTGGGCTGGCACCTTCTCCAAACAAGCACGAGAGCCTGTCCCTCCCAGGAAGACTACTGGCAGCACTGACCCCAGGCAGCCCGGCAGGTTTCAGGTGGCAGTGGGGATTTGGGAAAGCTTGTTTGCTACTGTGAGCTTCATAGAGGCCAGTAATCCTTTAAGTGACTGGTGCATGATCCCTCAAAGTCGTGCGTGGGAACAGCACCACCCCAGGGCAGGAGGGTCTGGGGGTTTCCACACACAGAAGAAAAGTACTGGRGCTCTCAGGGCCCACCGCCATCGACTTGGAAAGCTGTGGCTCTCTCGTTTGGKGGTCCAGAAGATGTGGGTCAGGGCTCTTCAGAGAGACAGGACAAACAGGATTAGAGCAAGACATGATCAGGCGGCAGGCGGGAGGGGATTGGCCKGGGGACTTGGCTCATGTGAAGCCTCACCATCTGCTGTCTGCAGCCAGAGGCCCAGGGAGGCGTGCCGTGGGGCAGGTCCCAGGCTCAGAACCAAGGCACCGGTGGATGATTCACTGGCTGAGGTCTGAGGCCTGGGGACTCTGGGTGCTGGCAAAGGCTCGGAGTCCAGGGCCCAGCCTCGGGGATGAAGCTGCCCCGGCTCCGGGAGCGTGGGCAGCCTCTGCCCTGCCTGGTTCTGCCCAGGCCCAGTCTGTCCTGTGGGTTGACACACATCGGCTCACACGCACGCATCCACGCCGTCAGGCTCTCAGTTCTGCCCACGTCCCCCTGGTACCGTCCAGCCATACCACCCACACAGAGGGGGGCCTCCTCTCCTCCCCACCGGCCATGTGCCAGGCTCCTCARGAAACCCTCCCAGACAGGCCAGAGTCAGGTGCCAGCGCTGCTAGGTGCCCCCAGTCCAGCTGACCCTGAAAGCAGCCGTGGCAGACAGCAGTACAGCAGGCCGTCGGCCTTCCCCGGCCCAGCCACGTGGTTGTGAGAGGCCGATCACTCCCTGCTTCCACCGGACTGCGCCTCGAGAGGAACAGAGACACCCACTCACCAGCGTCCAGCTGGCCCTGCTAAGGCCGAGCGCTCCTGGCAGGGAGAGTGAGAAGACAGGTCCTGGAGGGACACCCAGTCAGAGCTCGGCAGCAGGGAGGACATGGACGCAGCAGCTACGCTTGCGGACACCAGTAAACACGCCCAGGGAAAGGTGGCCAGGTGCAGGGTCATCCATAGGAAATGCTAGAACTTGCAGAACAGCCCGAAAGCGGGTCCTGGGAGCTGGGGACAGGTCTGCAGAGGAGGCCCACCAGGGGCACAGGGAAGCTGCAGGGACGGGCGGTGCACCAACCGATGGTACACCTCCACCCTGTGACACTTCCACTGCAGAACCGTGTGCCAGACCTGGTGTGCCAGGCAAGCCCCCAGACGACCTTGGGGACAGCCTGGGAGGCCCTACGGCCGAGTCTGGGCAGATGTCAGAGCACCTGCTACACCCAGGTGTGGCGTCCCGGGGGCTGGATCCGGAGGGGCTCACTCCTGACCCCTGAGTGGAAGTGCCGTCCCGGTCTTCCCAGGAGCCCACAGTCCAGGGCCGCTTGCTCTACGCTGGGCGCCAACGGGGCCAGGAGACCATCAGGGTGCCTGCCTGCCCCACCCCAGGCCCGTGGTCCGAGCCCAGCAGGCATCACTGTTGACGAGGGGCTCKCACACACGCGCCACGCCGTCAGGCTCACAGGACTGCCCACGTCCCCCTGGTACCGTCCAGCCCACACCACCCCACGGCCTCCCCATCCGAGCGAGCGCCCKTGCTCTTCCGTTCCGTGGACCTCCTGGGTCCCCGTGGCACTCACAGGGGGGGACCAGAAGGCGTGTCTCTGAGGCCCGGGTCGCAGGGCGTCTTGCTCCTGGTCTTCGGGAAGCACTGTCCTCCGCCCTAAGTTTGCTGTTGGCTGGGAGTGGACACTGCTGTCGGCTCCGAAGTCACCCTGCTCTGGTGAGGGGTGGGGTCCTCTGGTGGTGAAGGGCCATTCCTGTGCCTGTGGAGACAACTCTGCAGCRTCAGCCTTCATTCTGTCGTAGAGGTCAGTCACATGGACCAGGCCTGGTGGCCATTTCTGGACACCTGTTCCCGAGGGCAGAATTCCTTCACGTCTGCCCACTCTGGCTGGCTAGCGCGTGCCCTGTGTCTTTGCGCTGTGCCCTTGCGCGTCAGTGAGGGTCCCCGTGGCCTCCGGGTGCTGCGCTGTCACCCTGGTCCCCTGAGGCCTCAGCATGCCTCAGTGCCTTTGGTTCCCCGTCCTGGTCAGGCCACCTCCCTGCCCTGGGACCGGGACCTTGGRAACCCGTCTCTGGGCCCTTGTGCTGCCCTGTGTCAGGCCCCAGGCCCACCCAGGAGGGCTCAGGCCTTGCAGCTCCTGGMTCGGCCTTTGGCCTCCTTGGGCCCCTGCATGGGGTCCCCAGACCCAGGTACCTGGGTGGCTTGTGGCCATGGGCCTTGGAGACTGGGCTCAGGTGTCCCATCTGAGGAGGCCGACTTGGGCCACCCAGCAGTGCAGCTGTGGTCCTGTTCCACGTCTGGCCCCTGCCCACCGCCGTCCGCCCCAGCATGGCCTCCGGTCTGCTGCACTCGGGCTCCCGTTTCCAGCGCACGTCTGAGGCTGGGGGTGTGCACAGCGGGGCGTCTCCACTCGGTCCTGGAGGCCTTCTGGGGGACAGYGTCCCGAGCGTACACGTGGAGAGGGACCAAGGGTGAGACAGCAGGCAGACCGGAGGCCAGCCTTGCTTTCCAGCAGTCCCACCCAGAGGCCCCTTCCGAGGTAGGCCCCCAAGGCCCCACCACCCGGGCTGAGCCCCCTTGCAAGGGCCACCACCTCCCCACAGGCAGCGTACAGGGCCAGGCTTCCCGCGAGGAGCCCTAGTGACCACAGCCTGCTGAGGGCGGTCACTCCTGTTACCCTGTTACTGCTCACCTCCACGTGGGAATACTGCCCACCAGCTCTCCCTCCACTCTGCCAAGCGGGGTCTCCCACACAGGGTGGCCTGCTGCTGCTTGGCCACCGGTGGTAGCACTGGTGCTGCCCACTGCACACRGCTCTTGGTGTCCTCTGCCCCTGACCACAGGTGCTTTAAACTGTAGCCACCCTGTGTTGTAAGTGTGAACCAGGGTGTCTCCCTGCTGCTGTGTCCCCCGTGCAGGTGGTGTCCAGTGTCCACTGACCAGTGCTTGGTGTGCATCTCCATGTGGGTGTGCAAGCTGGCCACCTTCGCAGTGGCCTGTGGGGACAGCAGGGCATGATCAACATCACCTGGTTTCCAGGTTCCTGCTCGAGGGCCCAGGTGGACTCAGGACCTCTCTGCTGTTCCAGGGCAGCAGGGCCTAGAGCCTGGGCCTCCTGTGTGTCCTCAGGGAGGGCTGAGGGCCTGCAGTCTCCTTCCCGGGTGTTGTCTCCCAGGTGGCTGTGCCAGGTGTGCCCCAGCCGTGGGAGCTCCCACACCTTCGTGTTGGTGACTCGGGGCCCCAGCTTTGTGGCAGCAGCAGCAGCAGCAGGAGAAGCTGTGGCCGGGCAGTCTCCAGGGCTGTTCCTGATGACGGGGGCATCTTCTCAGGGGGCYGCTGCTGAGCCTGAGCGTCTGCTTGCAGGGCTGGGGCTGCCTAGGGCCTGGGCGGCCAGGCSAGTGCTCCACCAGGGACCAGGCCCGAGCCCTCACAGACAAGCAAGCCCTCCCTCAGCCCCCTTCTTTCCTACAGCTCCAGGGCAATGGCCAGGAGACGGGGGTCAGTGGCTGGGAACCCCGGCGTCCAACACARTCCTGTGCAAGCAAAGGACGGTGCTGCTGCCCAAGGCCCTGTGTCGGGGGGCAGGCCAGCAGTGAGCACCCCGTGGTGTGCTCCTGAGGGGCTCTGCACCCCACCCGCACCCTGGGCAGTGCACACTCCCACTCGCCAACGTCCAGCACGGGCTGGAGGAGAGTGGTGGTGGGCGGGGAGAGAGGGAGGAGGGATGCAGAGGGAGGGGAGGGAAGAGGGAGGGAAAGAGGCGGGGCCAGAGGAGACTGGGCCTGACGGCTGCTCCTGCCCCACTGTGGCCACCATCTGCTGCGCTGCTGCCCAGGGTGAGTGGAGGAGCAGCCCCTAGGGCATTGCCTCTGTGCGCCCCCAGGATGCCGTCCCCACCAGCGCCCGGGCCTCTGGCTCTGCTGGACACCACAGGTGAGAGGGTGGTGGGGGGAGTGTCCTGTGAGTCTTGAGGGGTGGGCAGCGAATGTGGGGCCAGAGGGCTGGGTCTGCAGGTCGCACCGGGCCAGTAGGACAAGGGAAAGACTCTGGCCCCAGGGGCCTGGGCCACCTGCCTCCTCGGAGTTTGTCTTGGGGCACCTGGCCCTGGCCAGGCTGCTCAGCCATACCCCTCCCTCCCTCTGCCATCCCTCCTTCCTTCCTTCACCTTTCTCTCTCCCTCCCTCTCTCCCTCTCTCTCTGCCACCTGGGATAGCAGGTCACATGTCAGTCCTTTTTATTTTTTATTTAGAGACAGGGTCTGGCTGTTACCTAGAGCCTTGCTAAGTTGCTGAGGCTGGCCTTGAACTCATGATCCTCCTGCCTCAGCCTCCTGAGCCTGGATGACAGGCGTGGACCACCAGGCCTGGCTTCTCAGGCCTGGTCCCCTCCATCTCCTAGCCCCGCCCTCCCTCCCTCTCCTCTCTCCCCTGACTCTGTCTTCCTGTCTCACTTTCCGTACTCTGTTATTGTGACCCACCCGCTGCCCCCCTGCTCCTGGACCCAGTGTGGCTGGGAAATGCTCCTGTTGAGGAAGAAGGCAGTTTCCTGCTGCCTGACGGTGGCCAGGAACSCAGTGTCGGGAGGTGCTTGGTCGGGGCCCGCCCTCCCGGCCACTTCTCCACTTCAATTCACGGAACCCAGCTGGACAGGGAAAACAGGAACCTGGTGCAGTGGCTCCCAGGGGCTCTGCCAGAGGTGCCAGGGCTGTCCTGCAGGGTGCTCTTGCAGGACAGAGGACAGGGCGTGCTCTGGAAGAGAAGGCTGGGCGGGAGGCAGGGTGGGGGTGATGGTGTCAGGCTCCACCCCCTTCAGAAGCCGACCAGCCAGAAGGGCCGCTGCTGAGCCTCCGTGGTGCTGGTCTTACATTTCTCTCTGTGTTTTCATTTAAGATGTCTTTACCACAATGAGAATGAAAAAGCGCAGGAGATATGTTCACAGGAGAAACAGGGGAGAAAACATACGCAAATGATAAAAAGGCAAGGAACTGGTATTTCCAAAGGGACAGTATTCCACACACAGGTCTCCACTGACGGCCACACCTCGGACACTGGGCAGCGCAGCCCGCACAGGGTCCTCCTGACTTCTACCCGTTTCTTTCCTTCCTGCACCGTCAGGTCATCATTCCTTCCTTTKTGCCCTGAACACGGTTCCGACTGCTCTTCAGACCTGGAGTGTCTAGACTGAGCAGGTACGCCCGGGTCTTGAGTCCTGCCTTCTTACTCTGTGGTCCTTTCAGTTTTACAGGGTGTGAGGGTTCCTTGTGAGTGCCTGGGACTCCCCACTGGCCC